AAAGAACAGGATGGAACAGCTTGTAAACTTGGTGTAGACAGGAATCTTTAAAGTTAGAGTTGGTTTCCTTATTTGTGGGGGTGGGTTTCACATGAAAACAGTTCATCTTCTCTGACAGCAAGAGGCTATTCTTGATGGTGATAATTAAGGAGAAATCCATAGTTTTACCTTTATTTTTAAAACTCTCAAACATCCTCACTAAAATATGCACTTAGCTTCCTGTAATGGCAGCTGCATGTTCTCTGGGCTAAAAATTTAACACCTTGTTAGTATATTCAATAAACAGATCAGCAGAAATCTAAAGTTAAACCAACTATATAGATGTAAGATAAACTTTGAGTTATTGGTCTAAGCTCACACGCAACCAGTTATCCCAGATGGATGCAGCATTTGTGAACTCTCTATGTCTGTGAATGATCAGCTTTTGCCTAATCCAGAGTTCTCCCACTGAGTAGTCATTACTCAAGCGGAACTACCACTGAGCTGAATGGGACTTTCAGTTGAGTAAGGGCCTGAGCCTGTAAAGATTTATGTGTGTGCTTAACATTAAGCATGTGAGTGATCCCCTTAAGTTTAACTGAACCGTTCAAGTGCTTGAAGTTAAGTCTTTACAGGATCAGGGGCCAGGTAAGGACTTCATGATTAGGCCACTCTTCATTAACGGTCTTTTGTCCTAAGTAGTCGCCTGCTCAAGTTGATGGGGAAACTTTGTACTCTTTATGGACTCCTGTATCAGCTAGAGTGGGCAGGTGGTGGGGAAAGATCCAGCCTGCTACAGATCTCTAAATTCACAATTGACATTTCATTAGCTCAACACCCTTTATTGTCTTTTTACAGAAACGACATGCCTAGAAGCCAGGCTACCTTCCAGTCTAAGATCACATGTCATGGTCTGACCCAGCATTCTTTATAAAGCAGATTTTAAGTAACCTGCATAGATGGCAACAGTCAGCAGAGATGGAGGTGGGGCTGAGAAGAAGCAATATAGCAAAGGTGTGTATCTGTCCCAGAGGCTTGTTCATATCTGGTGTGCTACCCTTCAAAACTCCCTCTTAGTTATTTCAAGAATCTGACTGAAATCATCTGGGGCTTTAGCAGGGATTGTAAGCAGCCTTGCATTGCACACAGGAAAGACTGGTTCTCCGATGCTGGGATAATTCAGAACATAAATCTGTTACCTTCCAGAGCTATCGGGAAATGTCTCCCCCTCCTGGCGGTGCGCATGTTCCCAGGATTTACATGCCTAAATCTGGAGTTTGTAAAAATGCATTTGCCCTTAGGTGAACGTGTGTCAGACAACCTGGGCTTCTACCTTTACTTCTCGACTCAAAATCAAAACAGAATCTCTAAAGGAAGAACATAAATATTGTACTGCTACTGTGATATTAGATGCAGAAATGGCTTATGGGGTCTGTAAAGCCTCCGTTCACCCCATGAACATAATGTTGATCGTGCCAATCTGAGTATCCAAATGGAGAGGCTGGATTACCCATATTAGAAACCCAGACTGTCATTTGGGACCTGATGTCAGTGGGACTTGCATTAGGCTTCAAAGCCAGAATTTTCATAAGTGCTCAGCACCCAAAACTGGAGAGGTTCCCTCTCATTTAGGCACCGAAATAAGTGGCCAGATTTTCAAAACGTGATGCTTGGCCAGACGTGCCAATATGGGAGCTGCTGAGTGATGAGCACTTTTGAAAATCTGGCCCTTATTTAGTTGCCTAAATGGGAGTTGAGGTCTTTTGAAAACCTGGCAGTTAAGTGGCTAAGGGGTAAAATCTCCTCTTCACTAGGAAAAGGCCACTCCCAACCCTGTTGCTCCAGGAGAAGCATGTATTTGCTTCCCAATCTGCAACAATCTGTAGCCTCTCTTTTTGTCCTATGACTGCAGAGGTATTAATGGGCCATTCCACCCTAAATGATCCTTTAGAATATGTGCTAACTACATACGCTAAATGATCTGTTCCCCCTTGCGCTTAGCTGTGATGCTCAGAGTATCTTTCCCAAACCTGAAGGAGAGCTCTGTGTGGCTTGAAAGATTGTCTCACTCACCAACAGAAGTTGGTCCAATAAAAGATATTACCTCACCCACCTTGTCTCTCTGAAGCCATATGGCTACAACTACGCTGCATATTCCTCTAATCCAGTCAGTTAATGAGGTCATCTAGCACTAAATAACTAACACGAAATAACAAGGAGTCCAGTGGCACCTTAAAGACTAAGGCTAGGTCTACACTACCCGCCTGAATCGGCGGGTAGAAATCGACCTCTCGGGGATCGATTTATCGCGTCCCGTCGGGATGCGACAATCGATCCCCGAATCGGCGCTCTTACTCCACCAGCGGAGGTGGGAGTAAGCGCCGCCGACAGAAAGCCGCAGAAGTTGATTTTGCCGCCGTCCTCACAGTGGGGTAAGTCGGCTGCGATACGTCGAATTCAGCTACGCTATTCACGTAGCTGAATTTGCGTATCTTAAATCGACTCCCCCCTGTAGTGTAGATGTACCCTAACAGATTTATTTGGGCATAAGCTTTCATGAGTAAAAAACATCACTTCTTCAGATGCATGGAGTGAAAGTTACAGATGCAGGCATTATATAATAACATGAAATAGTGACATCTTGATTAGTGTGTTTGATTTTTGTATTGCATAATTACAAATTTTTTTAAATGTCACTTTGGTAGTTGCTGAGATTTCTACTTAATGTTTCTGGCTTGAATGCTACTATTTCTCCAGTGCCTCTTGCTCCTCCAACATTGCTTAATGATGAGTCACAAAAACCTATAAAAATCTGAGGGGTGGTGGGAGAAAGTTTTGAGACTCACACATCATTGGCCTACATACTCTTAAAACAGCTTTTCTATATCACTTCCACATCATAGGCAGAGAAAAAGCGGATTGAATTAAATTGAGCCATTGTAGCTCATTTTCTGTTGCCATCTTTTGTTTTGCTCTAGTTGCCATGGCAATGAAAGATCAGTTTTGATAAAATAAAATATTACAAATTGCACTGTCAGATTACCTCGTTACAGGAGGCCAGCATTTCGGACCACAGCGTTACTGAAATGAAAAGCGTGCACGCTACAGGAATTTCTGCTCTATGGAAAAATGTTATTGTTGGATTCCTTCAGGAAGGCATGCATATAAAACTCCAATTCCCTGATGAGTGTCTAGTGACTGAGACCTGCACGATTCGCATCTTAATTTTTGATTGTGGTAAGCTGCAAGTGACAGGGCTTTTATGCTTTTCTATTGAACAAGTAGGTAACTGTATTAGCAGCACTGCTATGTAGTATGGCCCTGTTGTTTCCTTTGTCCCGATACCATATTGTCTGTATTGCTTTGCAGAGGGAACTGTAAACATTACTTAAATGAACTGCCCTCTGTAGAATGGAATGAGAACACGCCCTATGCCACTATCCCCTAATGGAGACTCCTTTAGCTCAAGAGGTAGGGAAGTGGTGCTTTTGGAGCAAGAACTGACTTTTATTGTCACTTTCAAGATGAAGTTCTCAGTGTCCTTTGTGTGCAACATATGGTGACACCCATGAAGACCTAGGCATGCATGGGTTTGTCTTTTTAATGCCACTGTCACTCCTGCTTTTGCCAACTTGCAAAATTATGCCTGGTTGGAGGAATTTGTGTGGTCTGTACCAGACAGACAGGTTTGCTTCTACTCTGATTACTACAGGGCTGTTAATAACGTATCAGTAAATTGATAACTTCCCTTCTGTTGGTTAACTTGGAACATCAATATGCTTGTGTACAGTGAGAGTCTGTGTGAATCAGTAAATGGTTTGATCAGTTTGTTTTTCTTCTGGCTGGGAATATTTCTCTTGCTATCTAATCTAGAGTTGCCAGTTGCAGGAAAGATACAAATCCAAACCAAACACTGCAAGGAATTTGACTAGAGCAGAACCTTAGTTTCCATTTCAGTGCATCCCTATCTCTTGGTTTGTTAAATTCAAGTGCTCCCATTTGTCAATGTCGTGACTGCCAGGAACTCTCTCCAGCCATCTGCTTTTTTTGGTAATCCTTTGATTTTGTTTCTAGTCCATTTTCTGTCCAAAATTAGAACTGGCTTGAGGCAAACAACTGAAATAAAACCGATTGCTGAATTGATTCTCAAGAAAGAATATTAATATTCTATTTAAACTTTTGCTAAATACTTGGGACTGCATAATAAAGAATGGATTTGAGCAGCAGAACTTGAGTGGGGTTGGTACCACTACAAAAAGGAAAGTCACAATTGATTGTCCAATCCAGCAGCTAGGATACTGAAGACACGCACATTCTCATTGTAGTACAATTCGTGTCTGAG